ACTGACCATCAAATAAACTAGAGGACAGATAGCTACTTCTGTCTGTAATGTGTGGGTAGAAAAACTATGTTGTTTTAGGTGGCCTTCAAGTTAGGAGAAATGCTGGAAGGCATCCTGCAGCTAGCAATAAAACATCATTAGTTTCTAAACATTACAATTTTCTAACCCATAAGGACAACAGCCAAGGCCAGTTTTGTCTTAAGAAAATATTTAAACCCTCTTGAAATCTGATTTTTCCCCACTGAAAAATAAAGGCCAAAATGAGTCTGTATTCTTGCTTTCCTGCGTCTGCATTTTGTGTTTGTTTGCAAGTGTCCTTCTGAAAATGTGTGGGCTCTTTAAACACAGTGGCTGTGTCTACACTGGGCCACTTATTCCAGAAAAGCGGCCACTTTTCCGGAATAAGCTGCGAGCTGTCTACACTGGCCCCTTGAATTTCCGGAAAAGTGCTGACGATCTACTGTAAGAAATCAGCTGCTTTTCCGGAAAAACTATGCTGCTCCCGCTCGGGCAAAAGTCCTTTTCCCGGAAAACTGTTCTGGAAAAGGGCCAGTGTAGACAGCACAGTAGTCTTTTTCGCAAAAAAGCCCCGATCGCGAAAATGACGATTGGGGCTTTTTTCCGGAAAAGCGCGTCTACATTGGCCACAGACGCTTTTCCGGAAAAAGGGCTTTTTCGGAAAAGCATCCTGCCAATGTAGATGCTCTTTTTCTGGAAATACTTATAACGGAAAACTGTTCCGTTTTAAGCATTTCCGGAAATTCATGCCAGTGTAGACGTAGCCAGTAAGAGCAAATAACTTGTTCAGCAATCCAGAATAATCATACCTTTCAGAGAGGCATTCTTCTAGACAAATAGACTCTTATGGGCCAACTGAGTACGCATGTGTGCAAGATTTACATATTTACTGCATTGTCCTGTTATAGATATGACATGCTCCACAAACTCTCCCTTATGCCCTACAAACCTCTCCTTTTTAAAACAAGCTTTCAAAAGCTATTAATGAAGATGACAATGCAGATAAGGCCCAAGTGTTAAATAAATGTTTCTGTTCTGTGTTTGGAGACAATCAGGATGGCATACGCTCATCACATTAGGATAAGGATGTACTTTCTAGTACGTCTATCTTTAAAGACAATCTTTCTAAAAGCACACCAAAAGGCTAAAAATAATTAAAAAGTGCACCAAAAAGTCAAAAATAAAGTTTTAAGCTAGCAATTTAGGAGAAAGATTGGATGGCTAAGTACAATTCAAGCTAGTTGTTAAATGTTAGCCATCCAATTTTTCTCCTAAATTGCTAGCTTAAAACTTTATTTTTGACTTTTTGGTGCACTTTTTAATTATTTTTAGCCTTTTGGTGTGCTTTTAGAATGATTGTCTTTTCAAAAAGTTTGTTTTTAATATTTTTTATTTTTGTCTTTTTGGTCTTAAATCTAGTGTTTCAACTAAAAAAATAGTAAGGTTTGTTTTGATCTGCTTATATATTTTGAACTAGACTTTTTTACAAAATGTTTTTGGAAGGGCTTTTGGAAAGTTCAATGTGACTGGAATTTGTGTATGAGTGTTCAAGGTGCTAGGTGTTATGGAAACACAGAACAAACCTACCATTCCAAATATAAGTGAGACAACAGATGAGCACAATTGAGAAAAAGCATGGGGAGAGAAGGCAAGGAACACCAAAAGCTGTCACGGAACACCAACTGTCCACCTATGGGTGCTGTACACATTATAGCACAAGTAGACTTTCAGGGGGGAGTTGAAGGAGCTGTGAATGTTGATGGGGAGTTTATTTGACAGATAATGGTAGTGGGGAGCTGTTTGTTGGAATATTTGGAAATGGGTGATCCAAGCTGGCAGCAAGTCAGGGCAGACATCTCCACAGCGGAGGTGAGGTGAAGGGCCTAGAAAATGAAATTGTTAGTTCTTCGTAACCTTAAGCCAGGCATGTCCAAAGTCCGGCCCGCGGGCCAATTGCGGCCCGTGTTCCGGTTTAATACGGCCCCACGGGTAATTTGGCAATATCTATCTTTTATGGCCCCCAATGAATCCATATGTATTGAGATGAATACATTGTAAAATCTCAGTTAAAGTCAGTTGGTCTAAATCAGTTATAAATATATTTGGACACAACATGTATACTTGGTGTTATGTTCCTGTTCATATTTTTTGAACTTAAAAGTTGACAGACAACCTTTATTACCAATAATATGTAATGTACTTTACAATGTTCCTGACATATATTTCAGCTTCCTGGATTTTTTTTTTCATCTGGCCTTCAGATATGAAAGGCAGAGTGATTTAACACCTGTTTAGATTTGTCATCCATGTGACGAAATGAAAAGTATGCCGTTTGCAATAAACTTTGCATAAAATAGTTAATTTGCATTTAATTTTAATGGTTCAAAGAATGTCAGGCAAAATGGTCGGCCCTCACGCATGTTCACTTCATCAAATCTGGCCCTCTTTGAAAAAAGTTTGAACACCCCTGCCTTAAGCAGTCAGGCCAGCATGGAGGGGTGGAGAGTGGCAAGAGGTAGTGGCAGAGCATGCGTGCCGCGTCGGCAGGGCCAGCTCTAGGCACCAGCAAATCAGGCAGGTGCTTGGGACGGCACTTTACCAGGGGCGGCATTTCAGGTAAGCAGCTGGCGCCGCCCCCGGCAACGCCAAGCCCCGCCCCGCCGATTTTAAAGGGCCATGGCCCGAGAAATGCCATGGCGGCCAGCAGGGAGCCTGCTGGCTGCCCCTGTCTCCTCTCCTGCTCCTCTCCGGCAGTCGCTAAGCAGCTGGCACCACCCATGGCAATGCCCAGCCCCGCTCCACTGATTTTAAAGGGTCGTGGGAGGCACCACAGCTGAGCAGCCAGGGTGACCAGGTAGACCCCCCCAAAATACCGGACACACTTGATCATGGGTGGCGGGGGAGGGAC